TCATTGTGTCATTTTTTTGATGTAAATTGAGGGAGCAAAAGCAGTATCGGCCCCAAATATCGGCTCAAGAAAATTGACAGTCCATAATCGGTCATAGGCTAAGGGTGATGGAAAAAAATCGGTATCGGCATCAGCCCTAAAAAATCCATACCGGTCTATCCCTAAAGAGGAGGTGGACATTTCTTTCTAGCTTAATGCTTCATTAACACAATATTACCAAAATGAGAAGAAAACTTCCCATCATCCCTACTTGGGAGTACTCACAGAATAGCAGACAGCTCTGCCTCGATTTGTTGAAACGAAAAGCATTTTTTTTCCTAAAACCTTCAAATTTTAAAAATTCTTTGCAATGGGAGCACCACGCATTTACAAACTGCTACAAACACCAGCAATGTGATGAGGGCCTGAGCGTCTATTCAGCGCTGAGTGCTGAATAGTTGGCATTTTCTTCTGGTCACTGACAGCTGAAAAATGTTTAACTTTTGGTAAAACACTGTGCTCATCACTGTTACTTTTTACCCTGCTGTCCAATCACAGTGGGACAAATAGCTTACCACAAGGTCCAACTATCACATCTTACATGTACAAGAGCTGAACAACAACAGCAATGGAGGAGAAATATGTTAATATACTGTAGGCTTTGTATTAATATATGTTTCCCCGCCCACAAAATCTCATGAACCCACATAGACTGTCTGGTCTATAGTTTAAAAAGGAGTGTATAGGTGAGTACATGGGATTTATTGTTTTGTTTTTGTTGTTTACTGTAGTATCAAACTGGTTATCTAGAATCATGGAATGTCACCGGTATTGGTATCGACTACTAAATTTCCAGTATCGTGAAAATTGCATGTTAACCTCAAACTGTGGTGTCTCTCTGAGAAAAAACATACTCCAGTCGACACTCAGAGCCTCACTTTCAGACTGATAAACTTGTCAGAACTCATCCAAATCCCTTTGCTATGCAACCCCACTAATCTCTTGACCTTTGAACTGAGTCAGCCTTCGGCATCAGACTGATGAGGCAGCTGTGCATCATCAATTTTACTTATTTTCACCTGAGAATAGCTGAACCATGGCAGTGGCCATCAGTCAGAGGTATCCTTCGAGGGTCATGTCATTACAGGTTGGTCTCACACACTGTTGCTGGGCAGTCTGAACCACCAGCTTGCCATCCAGGCACAGACTGCTCTGCTTTTTTTTAAACATCCAGTGTGTATACTGGCATCAATGGAATGTAATATGATAAGTATGTTATCTTTAGTGTATAATCACTTGAAAATAAGAAGTGCTGCATTTTTGTTACCTTAGAATGAGCTGTTTATATCTAGACTGGGAGCCAGTCTTCGTCTATGGAGATTGCCATGTTTCACTGTCATGTTTCTACAGTAGCCCGGAATGGACAAACCAAAAACTGGCTCCAAATAGGGCCATTCGGGTTTTTGCGTCAGCCACTGTAGTTAGCAGACCCTCCTCAAAGAGAGCATCAGAAAACACTGATTTCTTTTCTTTTTTGAGAAACTGCTTTCTTCAGTGTCTTTACCACTTTAAATCACTGCTTCCATTTGTTTTGCAAAGGCAAGGGGACCGTTGCGGATAATTTGGCTCCCCGTAAAAACACTTAAATGTCTGGATTAGAAATAAGGTGAGCACATGTTTTAATTGGTTTTAATCACTGTGTCTGTTTGTTTTGGAGAGGAAGAGACCTCTGCTGATAATTTGGCTCCCGGTAAAAACCTCCTGAACAATGAACTCTGAAGGAAATCTAACCAGGAGAAGTTTCAGCTAGTTGCAATCTGCAATCCTCACCCCTAAATCTTACACACCGTTCCTTTAAGGAAATAAAATTTACAGTGGCATGCCGGACAGCCAACACAAATTACTGGGGAAGCTATTTCCACAGAACTTTTACCGCATTAGGAAATTCAATGCAAATTAGTTAAGAGAAACATGCATTCAATCTTTACACACACCCTACGTCAATAATCTATCCACTCCCTTGGATGCAATATGTCTTGTGCTGCACTACCTGGTAGATACTTGGCACCATTTACTTAATTCTCTCATGGAGCAGCCCTGACATCGCACTCCTCTGAGAGGCCTGCGAGAACACAGTGTACTTTAAAAGGCAAAAAAATCTGCTGACATAAAGTTTAGATGTGGTATTGCTCCATAAATCCATGGCTATATAAACAGACCGGCTTATACTGATGTATTGGTGCTAAACACACCGTATAAACATTAGAATGAAGGAACTACACTTCAGATTGTTTGCCTGACAAGTTATTATGGCAGTTAAAAGAACAGAAAGTGTCAAGGTGAGTAAAATATAGACTGAGCTGCATTAGAGCACAGACACCAGTGTAGCAGTGTTTGGAGGAATACTTGAAGCAACCCTGCAGATAACCTTGGAATCTCAGCTTCATAAGTCCCTTCACGTGGCAGACAGAGCTTCAAACTCTGTCATTACATTTACATACAAACACAAAAAGTGAGGCACGTCTATTTTCTCATTTTTGGTCCATCGCATTGTGACCACGACCAGACAATCAGCTTAGGGAAGATTAAAAGCAAAAGAGAGAGAGGCTCTCACTTCCATCTGACTCGCAAAGATGGAGAACAGCTTGTCCTGTGCCCGACACGTTTTTGCTTCGTCACTGCTGTGAGCCTGCGCACCCTCCCCCACCTTTGTCCACCCAGCAATCAAAAAGCTGGAGCTGACAGGCATGCGCGCATACACACATACGCCTCCATGCATTTCTCAAATATTAATGTCAGAGTGTACAACACATGTAATGTCTCGATGACATGTATTGCCATAACAGTGATAGTATCAGCAAGCAGCTGGCTAGACAGCCCTGATGTAGCAGGTTAACAGTGTGTACGTGGAGGTAAGAGCGTGCAGGCCTAATTTCTTATGCACTAAAATAAGGTTTTAATCATCTGGGGAGAGTATGACTAAAAAACTGCCTTCCAGAGATTTCTGCAAGTGAATGAATGAAAAAGTAGAATAGGTAGAGAAAAATACACAGGCACACTCTTCATGAATAAGTGTCTGGTTGCCATGGATACAACAACCTCTTTTTAGAGTCCCCTTCTCTCTAAAGCTTTTGGAAACAATTTGCTGTCTTCACTCACCAGATTATTTATTTAATCTGACCAGAGCTTTGTCCTAGAGATGTGCAGATTAGAGATCCACTACATGATGCAGAGGTGACCTCCCGGAGATGTGCAAAACATGTGTCTGCTTTGAAGTGTCCAGTTACTTGCTGTTTTGGACGTATCAAATGAGGCAAAACACAGTTTGGCACAGTGTCTGAAATGTGAAGAATGTCACGTAGTAAGAAAAGGATGAGGGAGGGTGAAAACAGAGACAGTAATGATGGGGCAGAATGAAAAGCAGCAAATATGTAATGAAAAACAATCAAGTTGTGTTAGGCAGTGCAGTCTCAGTAATGGGTCAAGGTCAAAGATGGCAGAGTGTGACAAATCTTTTCAAATGCACTTCCTTTCTCCCTGTCCTCTCTCTCTCAGACTATGTTAATATTTCATAGACCACCATGTTCTAAATGATCACTCCCATTTTAGTCTTGGGCTGTACTCGAGGAGCTGAGGAATCTAGGCGAGGGGCGCGTTTTTGACAAGTATTCAAAATTCATCAAAACCTACAGTCTGTAGCATACAGAGACGTGAACAGATATCTCTTTATAGGCATGTTTAAGATATCGATTCCTCTTAA